CTTCCCTTTATTTTTCAGCGACATCATTACTTATTCATGGTGATGTCCGTCCGACTTCAAAACACACTTGGTATTGCCAAATTACGTGTTCATTTACTATTCGAGCGTAACGTTTTAATCCTAGATTGCAAAGGCGACCTGCACCAAGAGTTATTACAAAGGTGTAGTTTGAGAGAGTACTTTATGTAAAAATATAAAAGCTCAATGTTACAATAAAATAGATTGAACATAGATTGAACTATTGAACATAGATAGAACTAAATTGAATGGATTGAACATGCATGATATGGAGTTACACAATACATTTTGAAGGTTTTTATATACACACCTAAATAACTTGACTCTCTCAGCACACACTTACTTGGTGCTGTCCACATATGGGTTTTGAAAAGCTTTCGCAGTAGTTCCTCGCCATGCCACCTTTCTCATGATGGCCATCGACCCATTATGATTGCTATATGTTTAGTACAATACGTAAGTGCCACAAGACGATTAATTCGTTAATTATTTTCGTATTCATTATTCACAATATGAGAAAATACAGTGACAAAAAACGAATGTATTTACAAAAGTGTACACCGGAAACAGACACACGCACAAAGTTACGTGTATTTCACTGGCTAGTCACACAATAAAGGTACCTTGAGTTTCAGAAATGGGGATTGAGAAAAAGGGAGAAGAAAAAGCTTTCGGCACCAGCTGCTTTGTCTGACAGACGACGTATTTGTAATCTAGGCTTAAATAAGATCTAGTTACTTAAAAACAATGAGTAGACCTCAGAAATGACCTCAGGAATGACCTCAGGAATGTCATCGATTTCAACACCTTTCCGCTCCACGAAGGTGTCCCTATTATGTTTAATTCAGACATCATTAGCTATATGTCTGTTTGGGAGATGCCTAGTCTTGGGCACAGAGGCCAAAGTCTTAGCCACCATGCTGCGTACATCCTAACAGCAAAATGCATTGGCATTCATCATTGCATAATGCAAAACAATGCGCTTTGCCGTGAGGAAGGTTGCAGGATGACGGCAGAAACGTTGGCACCAGTACCTAGGACGCAGTGTCTCCCAGACAGCAATGTAGATTCTGACTCCGGCCGCGAAAGTCTATGTTTTGTCTAATTCGCGTTTACTGGGTATCGTCTGGGAAACAAATCTGCGGCAGTCGGTAATGACAGGTGAATGGGCGACTTTTCCGAGAGCAGTTAAAATGTATTTACCAAAACCATTATATGTATATTTATTGACTAATTACTGTTAGTCGGGGTCAATATATCGTTTTCAACTTTGGTTTCTATTTTATTTTCTAAACCATACCTTTTACTCTCCTATTTTAAATTTATTTTGGTCATTTTGAAGAAATGAGGGAAGAGTGGGGGGGGTATTAGTTACGAAATCGGTCTCTAGATTTTATAAAGCAATGCCGTGGAGAATAAATATATAACAGCTTTCTCAACTTTCTCAATAATTTGCACCCTAACTTTCTCAGGAGTTCGAGATATCATCTGTGATGGATTTACACCTGCTTCGGAAATTTTTTTTTAGATTTTTAAAGAAAATTACGGACAGAAGTATTCGTCTTCAACATAAAATTGTTTCTCTCTTGAGCCAGTGAAGATGTGTTTCGAATGTCATCAGTGCTCGCTGTGAGCTTGGTCTTCAACTTCAACTTCAACGAAACAAATATACATCATAGAAATCCGCTCTCTAATGATTAAGATTTTCAATGTAGTGAATCAGATTTAACCGGCAGTTTAAGTCATAATGTACATATTATTGGAAAAATATATTTAAGGACCTCTTTAAACGGTTTTAAAAGACCGTAGTGAAAACAAAAAGTAAAGATATTCTGGTGAGCCTTCCTTTGAAACTGTTCTCGCATTCACATTCGTGAAATAATTCTCTGTCCACAGAAATCAAGACAGCGGGTTGGCGGAGTGGTTGACAGCAAACAATCAGCGTAGTAGGTTCAACATCTCGATCGACAAGAACGAATCACTTCAAAAACATCCATTAGAGGTGATCGCCTCATTTCATCAGAGGCAGCTTGCAGAAAGGACGCTTTCGTTAACAGAGGGGACGAATGATCTGAAATCTATTTCAATCGGTCATAAAACAATATATACTTTTTATGCACAGTTTTATATACTTTTTCAATTATCTATTTTTTATACCATAATTCCAGTCACCTAATCTAAAGATGGAGAAAATAGTATTACTTAAAAAACCAAAATAGATTGAATTTACGACTGCAGTTCAGAAACTCATACACTTCCGCGACGACACGTGGCAAGGAAGATATTTCTACGTACTGCTGGATACCTGATCTGCGTCGTCCGGGGAGAGTCAAAGCTGAATTACTCATCACGAAGACGCAATTTGAAAAAACGACGCCAAAAGGTGTGCAAGCATTGTAGAAGAGGTGTACCCCTGGGCCGCTAGAATTCTTTGCAAAAGTATTCATTGCCCAAGAAATTAGCTTCTTGGATTTTACAAAGTAAAACACAACGTTGTTCCAATATTTAGTAAATATTTGAATGTGGCGTCGCTGACCCCGTAAATTGTTGTAAAAGTATTTTCAAGCGTTGAAAATTTCTTTCACACTTCATGTTTCTCATGCCTAGCTTTGTTCAATACTGTTGGAATTAGATGTACCAATGGACATACAACTGTTCTTATTGTAATTTCAAAATTATCATCACCTTAGCAAATACTGCCAAATTTTTGATAATATTAATCAAATAGAACCAATAACAACACATTGGTAGTTACTGTAGTCAATTGACACATCGTAACTGAAAGCAGCTAGATTCAAACTTGCGTGATTATTAGTTGAATGTAGCGCTTGCGCTTCACGCATTTGTGATATCCGAATTCTTTCACGTTCATTTCGGTCCTCGCGTTCTTGTGCAGCATGATTAGATCGGTAATTAGCTTGGTTTGTAGCATTTCGGGTTCTTCTACTTAAATTGCTTTGTCTAATTGGAGGCATATCTATATTATAGATTATTTTGTTAATAGTTTCGGAACGCGACATTAAATCCTCCAACGATGCTGTGCTCCAATGTGCTCCAATGCACATACGCACACTGTTTTGATAGATATGATTGAATTTGAACTTTGTATAACGGTAATAAAGTGCAAATTGACTCTTTGACGTTAGAAACATACCTACTACCAATACCACCACTACTACCAAACCAATACTACATTGTTTAAACAATAATGAGTGCTTTATACAATAGCTATAAAGCTCAAATTGACTCAACGTTTTAGTTAGAAAAAGTTTGTATGGGAAATAGAAAACGACTGTTTTTAGGTTTTTTCCGGCAATTATTCGAATTTTTCTTCACGTAAAAACCATCCTTGAACTTCAACGCACATTTAAAAAAAGAATTGGCCAAATTAGTCCAGGCGTTGTTGAGTTATGCGCTTACCAACACATGTTTGCCATTCATATATATATTATATTATATATATATTATAATATATATATAATATATATATATGTAACGGTACAAGCTCCTGCGGTGAAAATGTACATAAAAAAATAAGAAAAAATAGCAGACGCCCGCGACGCAGCTGCGAGGAAGGGGGGGTCGTAGGCATTCGCGCCCGTCCGTCTATTGGCGAGGGTTCCATAAATGTTTATGGCAGGACACCCCCGCGCCAATATGTCAAGTGTGCCGCCTATTCAAGCGACCGCTCATAAAATGAACCCAACGCTGAGTGTGCCTCCTCGGGGGGAGGGGAAGAATTTACGACCACACGGTCAGCGCGCACACGTGCGAAGAGAAAAAAGGGGGCCGATAGTTTTTTACAACAGAAACGGACATTCTGGCCGTTAAGAAAGAGTTCCCGTGTGATTGGTCAGACACACGCCTCCACCCTGCTCCGGGAATTCACCCCGCGTATCGGGAGGATAACGTTCTTTGAAGGGAGGGGGTACCGAGGTGTGATGTTACTAGGCCGCCGCTCGGTAAGCACTGGATGATTGGAGACGGCCGGGAGCGGTCGATTGATGATAGTTGGAGACGGCCGGGAGCGGTCTTGATTAATTTGATGCGCTAAAGACGCGCCACGGGAAGTTACTCGATGTTTTGACTCGGCCATGAGAAACCAGTGATTCAATCTCGCTTCGATTGTTCGGTCACAGTTATTCACTTCGATTGCTCAGTCAATCAAGTAAAGCACTCGAAGCATATCGCGGAGGGAAGTTGTGTAACTTCCATTTATAGCCGATGAATACCGTGGCTGCCTGAGGTTGGAGACGCCGACTGGAGTGGAGCCCCGCGGTAAGCGCGGCGACATCAAACGGCTACGCTGGGAGCCCTGTGTTCACCGCCTCCGCCTGGAAGGGGGGGCCCGAACCGAGACACGGGCGACTACACCACCGGGCGTGCACGAGGCCCGCCAACAGAAACCAAGGGTAATTAATCGCTGGCTCCGCATAAATGCGGTAGAACATTTACTGAGCGAAGCGAGGGGGGAAAGGGTAATATCAGAAAAAGTAACCATGACGACCCGTTGTTGTTTTTTTATATTGTATTAATTCAAATAGATAACCTTGTCAGAATAAAAGAAAGGGTCGTGTGATATTTTTTATATAAAAAATTAAAATAATTGTAATCATCATCATCATCAATTTTTTTAAAGTAAATGCTTTTTCATGCAAATGTTTTCGACCCTTGTTATTATTTGAAATTCCCATTCCCGTTCCAGACAGACGCGAGACGCGCGCGTGAGGGGTTACAATATATATATTACATATAATATACATATATATATATATATATAAAAGGAAATGAACAACTATGGTAAATGATGATACACTCGAACCAAAATTTGTAAATCAAAGTTAACTGAAAATGATATATGTAATTAAATTTTGTATTCAATTTTTGGAACAATATTATTGATCCTAAGCGCAATTTTATTATAACTTGCTTCCATGCTATCTTCAGAAATACAATTTTCTTCAATAATTATATATTTCATTGATTTAAAGATTCATTTTATATCAATGTATACTGATATTAGGAACATAAATATACATAACCAAGTATCTTATCTACATAAATAACTAAAATATTCCCATTTGTACGCAGAATTTTCAATTGTATGTTCCCTCTCTTCACAATAGATTGGTTGTTAGAGTTTATGTCGCTGTGACGGCACAAAGAAGATCCCAGCATTTTCTGAAGGCCATGGCAAGGGCGAGAAGAACAGTTAACGGCATCTGTCAAAGAAATTTTGATAAAATATAATTTGTGAATTGATGCTACAATAAATACTCTAGACAATACCAAGTCCAAAGGGTATACAACTTCTTTTTCTACTAATACTTCCCACATTTATTGCAACTATATGACATGAAGATGTGCAAAATAAATTAAATACAATTCTCACTGAAATATTTAATTTCAAAGTAAAATTGAAAAGCTGTAGATAATTTTTTTTCGTTCCATATGTAGTTGTTCTGATAATGTTACTATTACTATTGTAGAAGTTTTACTAAGTAAAAAGTTACGTAGTAACGCAACTTCACCCTGTCACAATGTATTATTAGTATTAATGAACTAGAAACATACGAACATTTGACTACAACCTAAAAGTAAAAACAAAAACTGTAGTAGTGTTCTCAGCATTATAAATATTTAAATAACATCCTCGAATACAGCACATTCTATTTAGTGCGATTTCGGCGGCGGCAATAGTTAAACGGTTAGGGCATCGCACTGTTATACTCACGTTGGAGAGTTCAAAGACGAGAGTTTTTAGGGCGAAAACATCCTTTAGCGTCTTCCTTCGGAGGGGAAGTACAGCCGGCTGTCTTATTAACTGCATGTAAAAGATCCTCGAACCTAAATAAAGCCTCTTCAAATCGTCTGTTTCGTCGCCCAAGAAATACCTCCTTTCTGCGCCAGTTGGTGAAAGAAGCGTAGCGAAATTTGCGTGGTGCAGAATGTAGAGCAGGCCTCATGGTCATTGGGAGTGTCCCCACGTAAAATTAAGCTACAATTCAATTCATTTTTACTTTCTCGCCTTAGTAAGGATTTCGACAGAAAAACGCCCACGTGTAAGACCGTAGTAACGAAAAAGTGGATAAATCTCGTTCCGGGTTTGAAGAGGATATTTTGATTGAAGATATACTTTACACAAAGACTGAACATTTTCAAAATTTTATCAAAAATGACTCTACAGTTGTGTTATTAAATTTTACCCTTGAATAGCATAAATGACACTTAAAACAATGATTTAGGTTGAAACCCTAATTTTTCGACAGTTGCAAGAATTCAATTTTCTTCGGCGTCTTCCTAGAACTACAATATTGAAAATATATTTTTTTATTGTCTTAACCTATTCTACAAAGACAGATTTGGGAATAATATAATATATATAATTTAAAAACATCTGTTAGTTTAACGATATTTTCATCAAATATTCGCTATTTGTTAAATATCAAAGCGGCAAGAAAAGGAGAGGAGAATATTAAACAGTTGCCATTAAAGAAACTAAATATTGGGGGAGGAAATTGAGTAAATAATATCATTTACGGTCACTAGCCACAAGAAATGGCAATAGTTAATTAAGTTCCTGACTTGTAACACTGGCGAATGCATCTCAAGAAAGAGGATTTCAAAGTGCGTGTCTAATGTAATTTACGAAGGTTACATCAAACCTCAAGAGATCGCGCCTTTATAACCTTAGAATAAGTGGCTGTGGAGAACAGCCTTCAAGGAATCGTTTCAAGGGTATACTTGGTACATGGGTGGCATTCTTATTGTGGGAAATTGGATTTCAAACTTCCAAATAACAAATAACGTTTTTTGATTCAGCCTATATTGCAATAGTAAAAAAACTGACAAAAATCAATGTATCAAACACGAAGTTTACCTGAGTACAAAATTGTGGATGTACGTACCAAATTGTGCAAAATGACGTAATTAAACATAATAACACTGACTTTTTCTCTGAAATATAAATAAATTTAAGAATAATGAAAGATGGCTTTCGTGGGCACGTGTAGAAAGCATGAAACAGAATCACAATCTCCATACTTGCGAACCGAATTTAGTTCCAATTAAGGAACAGTTGCGAGAGGAGGTTTCTACAAACAAAAATGACTAAGCGACTCTTTAAGTCGCTTTCCCATAATAATTAAACATAAGAGAATGCTACAAGGAATCAGTAGTACTCTCTCTCTCTCTCTCTCTCTCTCTCTCTCTCTCTCTTAGCAATAATAAAGTAATAATATAAATTATGGCTATGGATGAGTGTTGCTTTAACCTGTCCTGATTGCAGCGCCTGTCTAGAAAAGGCTCGACAGATGCGAAACGTCCACAGCGTTGTCTCGGAGCCAAACAACGTGTGAAGCGTGTCAAATCTGCCACTGCCCGTACTACCACTGGTCATGCTAGTACGGTCCCTCACTTTCACCTTTGAAATCTGTAAACAATCCATATTCAAACATTAGTGAATCAGTACAATAATACATTTACTGACGACCAGAATCCGATGAAACTGGCTCTGGCTCGGAAACAATTAATGCCAGAAAAGAGATTCTGGACAACTACATAACAATTTGTACCAGAAAAGTAACATAAAAGTAACTCTGGACAACTACAAACTTTGACAGGGCTGCTAAAAGACCAATTATAAAAGCATACAATAGCAACACGACATAAATAAATCAAACATCCAATGCCATATTCATACCATAAAACATTACCCAAAAAGTGGGCGAGAGAGAGAGAGAGAGAGAGAGAGAGAGAGAGAGAGAGAGAGAGAGAGAGAGAGAGAGACCACATTGAAAAACCAGAATACAATAATCGGCCATGAAGACGGCCATGAAGACCGGGCAATGCCAATTTCAAATACCAATTTGGACACATAATATCAAAACCACAAAAGAGGTTGGCGCTAAGCAGGCTACACAGTGACGGCAAATAGCGGCAATAGCCAAAGTTACATAGTGTCAATGCAAATGACTGGCAATAGCTACATAGCGACAACACAATTGGCAATAGCAACTGACGTACTCGGGGCTCGGTTATATACAAAATGAATTAGAATATTACTGCGATGGACTACATTTTCGAGCGGAATTGAAGGCATGCGAGCGCAAACTATGGCCGAAGGTGGCAGCCCTCGTTAACAAATGACATAATAGTAATCGATTGTGGTGAGTGTGACATACCCACACTAGTAGTGAATTCAGGAACTGTTTTCATTACAAACATGTGCATAAACAAATTCATATTTGGTTGAAAACAAATACATAAAGAGCTTCATTTCTCAAATACACAGTAAATACACAGCTGACACTTGCCACTGAATACTTCTGATTAGCTAAATCACATGAAAGGCTCTTTATTGAAGCATAATGTGTAATAAATCAAAATATGAAAGTTAAATATTCAGTGACACATAATAATTGTGTAAATATGAGTACATACATTTGCTTAACATGGAAGTGTGGCCACACTTTACAATACAAATTGGATCCATATAAACTTAAAAATTGACGTACAAAATAAATACTTCGAAAAAATAAAAATAATTTCTATCTTTTCATCTCAACTCATCTTTCAGGCAGTTTCCTTCTGTTTAAAAATAATTGTTTGATTTAAACAGTTATACAATATAATTAAAAGACAAGACTGAAATATGACACAATTTTTTCTTTTTTAAAACAACTATTTTATTAAATTTGTCCGTTAATTTTTTGTGTAAATGTCTTTCTCTTATTTATGTTTCAAAAGATGGTAAAACGAGAGCTGCTACTTTTTATTTCCGATGTACTCTGTATTTTTGAAAACTGGAGAAAATTTCGAAAAGTTAATATTCCAAAAGTACAATTTTGAATAGAAGGATTTTTGTTTTAAACAAAATATATTTCTAAAAAACAAATCTTCAGAAAATATGATGTACAAATTGATTAAAACACGATCCGTTTTTGTATTTTTTTCGGTTTAGAACAGGGGATGCTTAACAAATCCCAATGGCAGCGGATTATCGAGAGTCGTTGTTCTAGCGGCGAGCTGCTCTGATCAGAAGTTTTGCGTTGTTACTCCAATACCTCCAAGCCAATGCCAGAGCCTCCATCGATTTCGATACCGGGCGACGTAACGTGCGCGTCATTCCCTTGCTCCTCCTTCATTTACACACACACAGACACACGCACACACACACACACACACATCTACCACGTTTCGCACAGGTCGCGAGACCAGTTCCAAACCTGGAGACCGAGACAAAGACGTCAGATAGGCCGGCGCCGAATGTCACTATCTAGCGAGAGAAGAATAAATGCTTCCTTCAGATGCACACACAAAAACACTCAGCACACTTACGGGACTAATGATCGCAGCTGTTGCGGAATCCGAAAACAACAATTCATGCATTCACTCCGTGCCTTACAAGGAAAATTTTTAAAGCGTAAAGCTCCCGTTATCCTAGCTAAACTATCTAGGTAGGCGCGCGAACTCACCTCTCTTTTATCGGGGTGATTTATTTAACAAAACAGCAAAGAAAGTCGAGTTTTTGTTGAGATTCCATATGATAAAGCATTTCTATTGTTATATTCGAAGTATCAACCTGTAAATGTGTAAAGAGTTGGAATTTTTACTAAAAATCAATCCACCGCCTTTAGGTGAACATCTATTCTTCCAAATAGCAAAATGGCAAATAAGGAGGTTCAGATAAACAGAAAAACTGTCCCTTTCGAACAATTGTTTTATGGAAGTTTGAGTTCCTGCATGCACACTGACTATTACCGGATAGATACACAACTGTAAAATTAAGATTCTGCAAAAATGGTAGTTCTCAATACTTTTAAAACTTGGACAAACGGGAAAGGTTTGAGTGAGAAAGGAATTTCGTAACAAAGATGTCATGTAATAATATTTTTTTTAAACATAATATAGCTCAACAATATAACAAAACATGTTGGGAATAGTCGCATTACACAATAAATATGCAAATAGTTTTCTTAAATACCGAGAAAAAAAGTGTCGCCTACGTGACTGATTATTATGATTTGTTTCTGAGCGTCGTTCTAGAGACACACACTATTCTCTCGACTGATATGAGTACACGTGTTATTGTATGGTACATGTATGTGTTTGTGTATGCGTACGTGTGTATGTGGTTGTGTGGGGAAAAAATACACAGGGACGCAGAAGAGTATATCTAACGCGACCTTTGGCTCATTTGTTAAAGTACTGCTCCGTCAATAGACTGGTTTCAATTGTAAAAATAACGAAAAACTGATCCGATCAGAGCAGCCGGTCGCTAGATATCTACAGAGTGCAGCTGAATTGAAATCAAGCGGCGCAACTAGTGTAAAAAACTGGCCACCGTCTTTCGCGTTGCAGTGTTAGGGCTTGTCCACAAAGTAGTTGTAAGACTCACAGGAGCTGCCGAAGCCGGGGCCTTTAAGCGTATGCTCGGATGGAGCTTCATGTCCTCGAAGTCTTCTTGTGATGTTGCGCACAGCCCGGAGTAAGTCTGCAACCGCAAAACCAGTTAACACTCACATTCCTATGCCATTCGCGTAACCCAAAACGAGGGTTGAACGACGAACCTTAAAATAAATTCCAAGGTAAATGAGGAAAAAAATTATCCTTGCAATATATTTAGCAATACATTGAAATCATTTTCTTTAAGTTCTTGTTAAACTTTTTTCGGTTTTTCCGGCACGGTACGTTATAATATATACAGGATGTTCAGGAAGAAAAAGACGAAACTACAAAATAAGCTCTTAAGACAATTTTAGGAATATTGGCTATAATAAACTCCTTGGACATTCCGAATGGCCGAACCGAAATAATCCCTCAAAAGTTGGTTTGAAAAAATACATGCTCTGTTAAATTTTGCATTTCAGAAACCTATAAACACTCTAGCATCATGTAAATCGTTTATTATTTTTAAAAGAAATAAATACATTTGTTGAGAAAGAAAAAATAGCACAAGAAGTCAACAACTGATGGTTTTATAGAATGGCACGGACTTCCCTTATTAATTTTCTATTTCCTTTGGTCTCGACTTGCTATTCAGACTTGCACCGGCACTTGCCAGCTGTCATCCATTGCCGCCCAAATGGACATTTTTTGACGTTTTCTTAATTTTTCAGATTCCTAATAGCAGAACGGAAATATTATTTCAAGAATATTAAAAACAGTAAATATCGTACAAAATAGTTAGTTTTTACGACGTCGGTTTTAAATTGTTTCTTAAACGTACTAAAAGCGTTGTAACAAAATATCACTTGGGGCTAAGAATGGTTTTAAGAAAAAAAGTAATAAATAATGAAACTGTAATTCCTCAACCAAGATAAAGCAAGAACAATCTGGTGTCACCATTCGTAGGCAAGGGTTACCCTCGTACCACACTTGTGACATTTTTGGGGGTCAGAAAAATTAATCTGTAAATATGATTCTGAATATTTGTTCTATAATTCCAGTCATCTAGTATGTGTTCGTGCGCTTATGAAGCAGCTACCAAACAATTTTCAGATATTTTTCAAATATTATCGGGAAATTATTTTGAATAATTACATGTCAGATAGGAATGAGAGTAGAGAAAGATGAACAAATGAGGTGTCAAAAGAAAAAGGTTTTCACGATGTGAAGAACTGCACTGCCACTTTATGACTATTTGAAGTAAATGAAGCGTCTAAAGGATACAATATTGCAATTACTAACTATTTTCTTCTGAAAGTGCAAAACTGTAAAATATTTTATAGTAGGAATAAAAATACAGTAATTAAAACCAAAATTTTCGAGCTATGTTAATCCTTTATTCACTAAAAAAATCATTTTAACATCTTCTATTACAATTGGGATTCTAATGTGGCTTTTATTTATTAAGAAATTATTACCTAAATAAATTACATTTATTGATTATTATGTGCATTGTCTATGCACGTTTTCATAATTCTACTAGTACCTATATGAGTAGTTGGTGTGTTTTTCCTCTCGTTTTACTTCCTAGTAAGAGTATTCAACATGTGAAGAAAGAGAGATATTCATAAAACATATTTTTTGGGAATTTTCTCTTGTGCTTAAAGGATGAGACCGGTTTTTCACTAGAAGCAGTTCGCGTATGAGGATATAAGGGAGAGCACAATACAACTAGTGTTACTTATGCCCCAAAAGCATTTCAAGGGTTCTAATGATCGAACGACGACCAAAATGATAAGAGTCTTTCGCTGTGAGACTTTTGGACTCCCGAGACCATTGGAACTAGTTAACGCCGTGATACATAAAATATTTAACGTAAATTTGTACGTAAATTCAATAATTAAGATTTATTTACTTACTAGTTGACTAATTGTCAACTTGACTCCACTGTTGTTTTTTTTTTTCGTTTTTTCCTCCAAAAATTCCCTTTCATAACTCTCTCTCATAATTTACTCCATACGAGCAGAAGAAGCATCATTAAAGTTTTGTCATATTACTTTCTCTCGTTACTATGATTCTCTCGATTCAGGTGAGTTATGCAGCACCTATCAAACATCATATCGAAGGCAATAACAAGCAAAAATGAACCGGTAAAAAAAACTTTTAACGGTATGTTGAAGGGTCGGAATGTGATAAAATTCTCACATAAAAATTTTCATGTGACAGTTATCTCAGATTAGTAGGAAAAGCGTCGTTAATCAGTCATTGGTAGGTAACGTTCTGACGCAAAAAATGTATGTAATATACGCCAACTTTTCTTGAGCGATGGCTTGGAGTAATGCTAATAGAATGGGGGGTATTTATTATAAAACGGCAACTATAATTTTATTAAGCGATACCAATCTCTCGTATATCAGTCATGCCTTCCGAATCTCTTCAATAATTTTCGTTTTAACCTTCTCAGGAGTTGCAGGTATTCCCAGTGATAAATCGTGATCTGCTTTCGCCACTTATTTTGATTATTTTGTAAAAAAACGCGGAAAGGAGTTTTAATTTTCAACAGCAAATTTTTATAACGTGTCAATAATGTGTAGAATGTTGTCATCATTTATCTTCAAGTAATTAAATATAACAAGGGAGGGGAAATGTAGGCCATCTGTGTCAAGAAATGTTCAACCGGTAATACCTATCAAACATCACCTCAAGATAATTTGTCAAGCAATTCGTAATATGGAGTTAAGGACCACATGTTTATTGGCAAACAAGTAATCATAATTTACCACCTTCATTCCACGCAAGTTTGTAACATTTATTCTGCGAGATCTGCATAAGAAGATTGCATACTATTGCTTTTTTACGACGATTTTCAAACAGCTGAATACCACATCTACTCCGGTGGTATTAGTACTTCGAAACATAACGCGTGCTCAAAAAACGATCATATTACTTCACACTTTTAGTCAGAGAAAATAATGTAATTTTTATTAATAAATGTAATTTAAAAATATGTAATATATTTTAATAATTATAATAATATAATAATGTGATATAAAATATAATAGATAATTTATAAAATAAATGTGATTTTTTAAAAATACAGAACCTATCATTTTCACAATTTCATGCCAACGTCAAATCAATAAAACAAAACTAAAGTCGTTATTCTGAAGGCAATAAGGGTAATTATTGACTATAAAATGAAGTAAAGCAATGAATCCGGGGTCGTCGTAAATTAAATATTGAATGGTTCATCTTTGATGTGAGTTTGTTATTAAGAAATAAAGAAATTAATTGCGATGTAAGCATTGTTACCTTATCGGGCGTGGAGCCCTTTGGGCACGCAGAGGCCGCATCCCCCTCCTGGTAGACGGGCTCCCCGGCCACATTCCCAGAAGGGCCGAAGTTGCATATCAGGGTGAACTCAATGCCCGGGGCACTTCCCCTCTCCGCCAAGGCGCAGCCCACCAGGGTCGTCTTCGCCCACACCAGCTGCAGGCACGCCCCGCCCCACACGCCCATTACTCGTAACGCTTGCTGCGGTGTGAGGGAACAGGTGTGCCAACTGCACGGAGACTTTTACTTTTTACTTCAGAGAACGGCAGCTTTGCCGTTGTCTCGAAGGGACTCTGTCCGGGGTTCCGTGTTCTAGACCCGACGGGGGCAGGGTTTTCGACACTAGCTACATCCTTAGGTCAAATTTTGAGTCATGTTCACATACAGCGCCGAGCACTACTTGAGGATTTTTGGGGTCAAGACATCACTCCCTGTAACCAGCGGATGTCGAGTCTTTTCGCTGCCAACACGTAGAATCTTACGTCATAAGAGGTTATTTAGGTTCAAATTAGTCATAGAAGTATAAAACAGTGTTTTGAATTTTTTTGCTGAAAGAACGATAGTCGTAGTGATACAAGTACATGTTATCAAAGGTCTTCCTTTTTCATTACCCAGAGTGAAGATTTTCAGTAGAGTTCTATTAAAGTAAAATATTACGTTAAACAGCAAATATAACACTTAGAAAACACTTCGTGAGTCAATGCTCTACTTCTACGGTAAATGTGGTAAGAACACATTATAACATTTTTTGTGCACTGTGAATAAGATAACTATAATTTGTAATGTAACTTAGTGGTACTCGCAGATTTGTTTTTTATTGCGTCCGGGCGCGTCAACTGCTACGGTCATCAGTCTCTTAGATGAAGTAATTGTTTGGAAGGTGGCGATGACCTTCCCCAGATGGATGTATGATCTGGCTGTGGCCAGCAAGTTTAAGCCCCCCGACCGGCGTCTCGGCATGCATGGTGTAGAAGTGTGAGTGTTTGACAAGGAAGAACGAAAGATCGCACGCAGTCTGCGGCCAATTAGTTAGGGAACTGCTTCGGCATTCGCCTGATGGGGATCGGAGAAATCACGAAAAGTTGCCCATCAGAGCAGCCGCCCGTCTGAATGCTCTTTAATGCAGTGGTAGAACTCAACTGGCTGTCTAGCTAGGTCGAAAATCCTCCCGCCCTCGAGCTTAAAGAGTACGTTTTTCCGACCAGATGCGCATGCAACAACTGATGAGCTGAGCCACCAAACCACAGTGGGTTCAGCACTTAGGAAGAAAATCTCACGAAAGGATCCCCCGACTTGCCTTTCTGTGCAGAACAAGGGGAAGAGGGGCATTGGCCGCCCACCACAGAGATGGTGTCATGAAGCCGGAACAGGAAATCTCCCTAACCCTTGAAGCGAAGAAGAAGACATGAAAGGAGGTTTCAATTGCAAGAAATGTAAATAAATACATATTGTAAAAATGGTCCAGAATTTACGCGTTAATATACAAAAATTACCACATTCGCATGTCACTATCAAAATTCCCCAAGTGAAGTTCAGAGTAGCAGTCAAGTTCAGAGTGTAAATACCAAAGTTCAGTGCAGTTAAGCAATTAACTAACATCATATTTGTTTCACAAAATACGAGAAGGAATCAACAAATAGACACACCCACTTCTTTGCACCTTGAGACTAGATCAAATAAGCTGCTCTGGTTGGAAAACGTGGAGATCGATTGCATGGGTCCTGTGGACAGTGATCGAATACATTCATCGTCTATCGAACACATCTTCGCTTTGTCGGAATACTATTCTAAAAAAAACTAGTAAAAGGTAAATAATTTAAATTACCCTCCCCACACACCCAGGACAACATTATGAAGTGGTGTGAGAGTGGCAAGCGCGTCAGAGGCGAATTGCAACACACGCTGTAGGAGAGCCGAACCGCAGGAGCGAGTCTCGACTAGCAGTGGTGTCCGCTCAGAGTAGACACTCTGGCCTGGGAATTACTTGTGAGACGTAAAGCCAGGCACTGCTACGCCGACTGTGATTACGTCAACTGTTAGTGCTGCCTCTTGTATCTAGAGATCACGCAATGTTTAGGTTCACCGGCTTGTGAACGGCAACATACATTTAGAATTTTCGTTCTTCTGGCGCTTCCATTCCTATTGACAAAATTTTTGTACGAATGTGGATTTGGAACATTTTAATTAGGCTCATATTCACCTCGAGTTTTGGTTTTGTCTTGCGACTCTTATTTTAGTACGTTGCATCTATGACTTAAGGTGGCATCCATAAATGAAGACGAGAGAGAGAGAGAGAGAGAGAGAGAGACAGACAGACAGACAGACAGACAGATAGACAGACAGAGGAGGTGGAGTTTGATACGAGGGTATGCTGCGTTACCTAGGAGTAGGCTGTTGTAAATTATGAATGTATTTCTCAAACATTTTGAACATTTGCTGAAATAATGGTTGTACATGTTAAATTACGAAGAAAATATTTAAAACTGAACTAATTCGTAGAATTCAATTAAGTTAGCACAGTTCTCTTTCTCTTATGCATACACAAGAGGTGTGCACATCTTTTTGTCAGTCATGTTCTCGACAATGCCTTCTTCCTTCATTCAATCCTATTATCCTAGCATTTTTAACTATACGAGATTCAAAAAACGAAATGGAGGATGAGGTGGAGAAATTTAAGGTAAAAACTAAAGAAGAGAAATGGATGAAAGTGGAAAGGAGAAACAGCCAGAGAAAAGAAAACGATCATGAGAGGAAGGTGTAGGAAAGATGAGAAAGGGAGTTAATGTTGAGATTGAAGAACTTTAAAAGAAACTGGAAAAAGAAAAGTAGGAAAGAGAAAGGGAGAACAAAGAGAGAGAAACTATTGAAAAGAGAAGAGTAAAATCAGAGAAGGAGAAGTGAGAGAAATATGGGAGAAGAAAATACCAACAGAGAATTGAGACAAAGTGACAAGACAATGAAAGGAGGAGGAAAAGCAAAAATAGAAACAAAAATAAAAGAGAAAACAAGAGGGAAAAAGTGATAACTTGAACAAAAAATATAAAAAATCAGAACACAAGGGAATAAGAAAACAGGAGAATACAAAACTTAAAAAGGAAAAATATTAAAGAAATTGAGAAAAAGGAGGGGGTGAAGAAATATTAAAAAAGAGAACACTGTAAAAGAGAGAAACAAAGGATGAGGGAAAGAGGAAACGAAAAGAAAGTAATGAGAAAAAGAGAAGAAATGAGAATGAAAGAGACCAAGACAAAGAATGTGGGGAAGAGAGAAAAGATGTAAGAAATCCAAAAACTGATCCAAGTCAGTTAGAAACAAACCAGCCAAAAGGAAAGGAAGAGAGAGAGAGAGAGAGAGAGAGAGAGAGAGAGAGAGAGAGAGAGCGAACGTGAGAAGGCGAGAGAGAGAACACGAAAAAGAGAGAGAGGGCGAGATTGAATGAAACAGAAATTGAGAATGTGAGGACGAATGAAAGAGTGCGAGTGAGAGCACGAGAGACAGAGAGTGTGAATGAGAATATAAGAAAGAGTTAGAGAGAGTGAAAGTGAAAGTAACAGAAAGTCAGAGAGTAAATGAGTTTGAGAAAGAGTGATTCAGAGTAAGAAAGATTGATTGGGAATGATACAGTGATTGAAAGTGTGATTGAGAATGATTTAGAGTGTGATAGAGAGTGGGAGATAGTGAGTGGGTGTGTGTGAGAGAGAGAGAGAGAGAGATATCGTGAGGGAAAAACGAGATGAAAATACTCACCTGCGTGTAGTGAGCCGTGCTCGGATTGAACTTGTAGGACTTGATGCCATCTTTAGAGAAATCCATAATCTCGTTGTACCAACTCTGCAGCATTGTTATCAGATCCATTGGAATATCCATATCCAGCCTTCTCCATGCGATGTTCTGCCCCACAGGGAAGCGGGTGCTGTCGCGACACTTGTCGTAAGAATCCTTGCACTGAAGGACCCACCGCGCTGCCACCGCCTCACCAACACAGGCACGCACAGTCACACACTTCGCCAAAGTAGGGATAGGACAATGAGTGAGAAGTTTTCCAACCGTCCATGATTTCATTTCATTGTTATTCTTGTACACGGGTGTTAACTTTCTCTAAAGATCGACAGCGACCAAAAGCCCAGGGACCAACGATCCTCGGGTTTTTTGTTGCCTCACGGTAGTCAGAACCAGCTAACGCTAGGGTTTTACAAGATTTTATTTTTTTACCTAACTGTAATAATTCAGATTTACTTATTTACAGACTGGATATTGACTTTTTGGCATTGTTCCGTCCTACAATTCCCTCTCATAATTCTCCCCACAAGGGAACATGCCACATCATTCAACTATTTTCATATTTCCATCGTCTCAATGAAGGTAAATTGTGTAGTGTATATCGCGCTGTGGATCTAAGAAAATAACAAGCATTAAGATCTCCTAAATTGACAAATATTTTTAACCCTCGAGAGCGTAAAGACTGAACTAATACTTTTGCGCAGGGAAATTTTTAATTATAAAAGTATTAAACATTGTAAATATGATTCATTTTTTAAACAAAAAAGAACAAAAATAACTAAACGGGGTCCGACCATGATACTCCTCGAATTGATTGTTAGGCCCACATCATACCAGCGTTGCCTTGATGCGGGTTACTTAACACTGACAGCGTCAGCTGCGTCGATGCCTGCGCCGACAAGACAACTAACGCGCGTCGTTAAACACTGTATCTTATGTGACGGCAAATGAGTGCTCTTGCTGCAATAATGTTCCACTGTCCAAAGGAACATATCCTTTTCCAACACTACTTTGCTAAGAGGCCACAGGGGGTCGTAACTGTGATTTTGAAGTTTACATATTTTTACGCTATTGTTTAGATTGCAGCTGAGACCTTTTTTTGAAACGTTAAGTGTATATCTATCAAGAGATTTCAAGTAGTAAAAATAGAAGAGTTGACTATTTTGGTGGCTCAAGAGTTAAGAGCAACTGGGCGTATGGTAAGATATCCGGTACGAACGCCGGCTAGGGCGCTTTATCATTTGGATTATTATTATTATTATATATTATTATTATTATTATTATTACTGTTATTATTATTACTATAATATTTCGAGCGAGTTTTCAGATGCTACTTGGTGAGAGGTGTTTGAAGGGGGTGGGGGGTACCTCGAGTTCCATGTCCCAACACAGGCGCATCATGTCGGACGCCTGGGGCTGAGTGTCCTCGCCGCGCGCCGCCCTCGCCCTGAGTTCGTTCTGCTTGCTCAGCAGCGCCACCTTATCGTCCTTCGACAGGGAACGCAGCTTGCACGGGCCCGGCGGCTTCCCCGACGTATACCTGCGTGCGCCGCCCTCCTTACCTCCTGCTACTCAGGGAACCATCCGCACGACCTGCTTTAGGCCACCTCACTTCCCCCTCCCCGCTTCTCCCTACTCTCAACACTTCAATTTGAAGGTGGCTCATCTACTGTCACTAGCGCCTTTGACCGGAGGTGACTGGGTTTCAGTCCCAAAAGTGGCAGGATTTTTGACATTAGCTTCTGGGTTAGATCAAATTCAGTCGTTGTATGTACCTGAATTCTAGCGACCAGCTGCTCTGATCTGTACCAGCCGAATGCCGGAGCAGTACCAGAACAACTAGGCGGCAGACCACCAGTGATTTTCCTTCCTCCTCCCTGCTCTTTCCTCGCCCCTTGCTTACACACACTTACAAGGGCAAGTCAAGAACTATGTGCATTAGCATTTAAACACACACCAAATATATATATGTGAATATATATATATATATATATATATATATATATATATATATATATATATTGAAACGAAGAACGTTCCATAATTAGAACAATTAAAATGATTACCAATTATAAATTAAAAAAAAGTACTGGAGTTGATCAGCGCAGTAACGCCGCCGCCGCCACCAACGGTCAAATCGGGGGGGAAACGGCGAGGCGAGCGACGGTTAGTGGTGCGCGGAGAGGCCTCGAGTGAAGCACGGGCGGGGCAGTGTTGCGTCCAAGAGATTTATTGTCGTTATTAAGTGCAGTTCGGACTGAGTGTGGTCGCTGAATGTGGAACCAGGTATGATAAGGATTAACAGACAGATGATTCGGGGGAAGAAGAATTGCGTTCCAGAACTGATAAAAACCAATAAGACAGGAAATCGTGTGGCCGGTGGGCTGTTATAATCCCTCCCCTGGTATAATATAACAGTGAGCAGTGCTTACGGACTTTCGCGCGAAGTTGAGAAAGGTTGCTGGAAAGACTAGAACAATCGACGAACATCAATCACGCGTCGTGCGTTCCAGTACCCGTGAGACATTGTTCACACCGGCTGGGGTGGACCCCGGCGAATTCATCGGTCGTTACAGTGGGCAAGAGGAGTTGGTCGCCGAGGGAGGGCGAATTCCCGGCGGACTTCGGGGCCAACCGAAGCTTACCGAAGCCACCGCCGCCGTTGTCACGACGGCCCCGGTCACCTTCAGAGGAAGCAGGTGGTTTTTAAAACATCGAGGTAGCGTTGACCGTGCGCTGCTTCTGCGCATTGCGATTTGTAAATACTATTTGTAAAGTGTGTTCTCTGATCATTAAAACATTTAGATGTGCCAAAGAATCTATAACGATTATCTTCCTATGCTGCGCCAAATTCCTGGAGACCCATTCGCGAAAATCCTTGTCCTTGCGTAATTTTATAATTGTGAAGTGCGCTTCCCAGTACGTCACAATATATATATATATATATATATTAAATATTATATATATATATATATATATATATATATATATATATATATATTTGTGTACGTAGCCTGGGGAGCGGTACTTCACCGGACAATAAAATTATGCAAGGAAACAGGTGCCTTTTCCGTGAATGGGTCTCTAGAATTGCGGCGCACATGGAATAGACTATTTCTAAACTCTTTTAACATTAAAGCTATTTAATACCAAAGAATACACCCTCTCAAATAAATTTTACAAACATATGCTTAGGTCTTGAAAACAAGCGCGCCGATCGACTCCAATGTACATACTACCTCGACCTTTAAAACGTCATCTGCTCCCTCCGGAGGCGTCCGAGGCCGCCGTTGCAACGGCGGCGGTGGCTTCGGCAAGCTTCGGTTCGCCCCGCAGCCCGTCGAGGATTCGCCTTTCCTCGGCGACCAGCTCCTCCGGCCCAACGTAACGGCTGATGATTAGGCCGGGGTCCGCCCAAACGGGTGTGAACAATGTCTCACAAATACGGGAACGAACGATTCGAGATTAATGTTCGTCGGTTAGTCTAATCCTAATTAGTGACCTTTCTCGGCTTCGCACAAATGTCTGTTCGGCACTGTCCACTGTTGTGTTCTTCCAAGGCGGGATCACGACACTAGCCCACCGGCCACGCGATTTGCTATCTTATTAGTCTTTCTCAATTATAGTACGTAATTTTACTTCCGCTAATCATCTATCAATCCCTGGCGAACTTGATTCTACACTCGGCGGCCACACTTATTCCAAACTGTATTGAATACGTGCGAATAATCTCTTGGGCGCATCAGAGCTCCGTCCGTACTTCCCTGAACGCCTCTCCGCACTCTACTAACTGTCGCTCGCCTCGCCGGTTACCCCGATTTGACCGTTGGTGGCAGCGGCGGCATTACTGCGATGATCTCAAGTGTTTTGTTCTAATTTAGAATTTGTGATTATTTTAATAGTTCTTATTATAGGAAGTTTTTGTTTCTATATATGTATATGTATATAATAATATATAAATAATATAATATATATATATATATATATATATATATAAATTTGTTCGAAAAATTGGGGTTTCCAATCGCGACTAGAACCCAGGCCTTTCCGGACAAACAGTCCTTTGAACATTGATTATCTTTGAACAGTGATTATCGTTCTTTGTATATATTATTGATAGTATTCACCTTCCCGTCACCTCATTGGACGCAATTACTCTCGGAGAATATATTTCGCAATCGTAAAGAAATCCTAATTGTGACCACGTTACTGAGGAACAATACATTTTAATAATTAAATTTGTTCAAAGAATTGGTTTCAATTGTCGGCAAGAAAGCGCCAGCCTTCTGTTCTGCTACTCCGCTGCATTGGTTGATTGTCAGGTATTCCGGACGCCTCAACTACTATGGTCATTAGTCCCATAAGTGGAGCGCATTGTTTTTGTTCGGAAGAGGCAGTGGTCTTTCCTCAACACATGGCGAGATCCGGCGCAAAACTACCGTCCTCCAGTGAGGTTTTCCCCTACCAGGTTTCTCCCACCATTGAGGTACCGCGTGATTCGAGACAAGCTCTAAGATCGCGACCGGTGTCCCCGCTTGCTGTTAAGGATAGGACAAGGAAGAGGAAGGAGAGATCGCGCGCGGTCCGTGATCCGTTTGTTAGAGTTCTGCTGCGGTATTCACCCGGTGTTGATCGGTTAAATCAAGGACAACTACCGAACAGAGCAGAGCAACCGGCCTCTGGAATTCTCCCCCAGACACCACCTGAATTTGGCCTAGCTGACAAGCTAGGTCAAATTAAGTCACTGAGAACCCTGCTACGGTCGAGACTCGAACCAAGGGTTTTCCGGTCAGAGGGACTGCAGTGACATCTGTTCATATCCTGAGACATCTCTTCCGGACACGCTGTTGGAGCACATGAACCCTTGAGTGGTAACACAAATTTTATTGCGTTGTACGACCGATCTCTCAGATCCTGCGATTTTTGTGATATTTGTACGTTTTCAATGTTTTTATTAAATTAACAGGGATTCTATTGCGAACTCGGCCATGAGTGCAGAGCGACGTGCATTTATTCATTGACGACACCCCACTACCAGTTTTAATAATACTGTCTCCCTAAGCGTAAAACAGGAATGTGTAGGGAGCTCGATTCAACAACACTGAATCTGGAAATAATTTTTTCATGTCCAGGATACAACTCACTTATATCTTGTATAATTCCCCAAAATTAATTTCTATTCTGTCTTTTACAGTCTTGTCTCCAAAGATACAGGGCAAGATGCAACACCATATCCTCGTGAAAATATTTTCAAAGGATAGTTTTCTTGTTTCGCTCGCCCGGATCGCAGTCACGGTCTGTCCTTGCGCTCACTATAAACAACTTTACGTCTATCCAACGCACAATTACTCATTTACCTTTATAAGAAAGCAGAGTATGGTTTAGTTCAGCAGCCTGCATTAGGTCCTTGCGGTTACAAATTAATATTGTACAGCGCAAAACCCAGTCTGCGCAAAAATACCCGAATTTACTTATATAACTAAAGATACATTTATTTGTATCAATATTTTTATAATATATTTTTTTAACATTGATATTAAATTTTCGAAGCATAGTTATCACAGAAATGCTTGAAGCTTGTGAAAAATTCAGTTTCGTATATTATTTTTGGATTAATTGTTTGTAAATCGGTGTTAAAAATCTGGTTGTTGCACGTAGCTATTCATAACGAATAAAATCACAATTCCTTCACAGAATTATAGCACATCTTCTTGGAGCCTTGGAAGTAATTAAATGTCCCACACTTTACGCAGTAGCAATTAGTCTTCCGCGGGACATTTTACTAGGCAGTAGTAGCATTAGAGATCAAATTACATAACGATGTTATCAAATAGGTTATCTTTAACGATGCGCACGAAGTGGCAACAACCTGAATAGTCCAAATAACAAAACAAAGAAGCATAATGGTGTGAACGAAGCCATAGAAGTCCGTGGACGTACAGTTCAGGGCAGAGGATAAGAAGAAAGGGGCCATGGCCGCCACTATCGAGGATAATTTGCGCGCGTGGAACAAGTAAAATATAAAATGAAAAAAACAACAACAGAGACTAAGCAAACTAGTACAAGGAATTGGAATTTGGTCACCATTAATTTGTTCATGCAATTACTATATGCCGGAGAACTTTTAACCATGATCATGTTAGTTCATACATTTAAATAATACACGCTCTGAGAAGAACAGAGCGTCAAATAACGTCCTTCTATTACAGTCGCGGTGGTTTCTATTCTCCACATACCTTTTCTAAAGATCTCATTTTGCTGTACGCAAGAGTAGAGGAGTTTGGTTCTTTCAAAGACCGACATAGTCTATTCAAAATACACTTCGTTTTTTATGCAAAATAGTTTCTATTACAAGGGAGCAAATCTTTTTTGTTATCAGGTTTGTCAAAAACTCTCGATGCTGTCCTTTGTATCGAATTCAACTTTAATTAGAGAGTGTGATTGATATTCTGGGGCTCGGGTGCGTAGAGTGTGAGGTACGCCCGTTTTCACAACAATTACGGTCTAATAAATATTTATCGACAGCAGTGCTCTCAGTGAGTCCAGTTCAAATATATTCAAACGTCGTTGGGTCTGAGAGATCGGTGTTACCCCTTGAGTATAGAGGTTAATACTCACAAACCTGAATACTACCTTAGTAAGAATGTGTAAATTATTTGTACTTACTGACATGCTGTGTGAGACTTTTTTTCTGTACATAGTGCACAATAATCAGTATCTGAAAGATCAATTACGCCGCCACATAAATTTAATGATATGATAATGCATATCAGGGTCTCTTGGTACAGCATTGTTTTCCCAAGCACAATTTAAATCTCAAATGTTAAAGAGATACGTTCAAGTGTCATAATATGGATATCACTGGGTGTTCGCAATAACCTAACACTTTTGTTTTGTGGGAGAAATGAAAAACATATGGCGACCGTCAACAATCCCTGTATTGGCAAAAAGGTATTTTAATGTTAATTAACATACCACGTGGGGTGCTATTTTCCTCTAACCTGACTAAAAAAGTGTGTGGTGGTTTGGGAAAAAATAATAGGCTAATAATAAATGTAACAAAACATTTTATTAAGCAATTTCCGGCATATGACACTACACTCGTACTATATTCTCATTTAATTGCAACCACAGTTTTTTATTTTAATTTTTACAACTTATCGCATTCTACATCCCTTTGCAACGATCTTTCTATTGTTTTTCTATTGAAATTTCTTCCGTCCAACACGTTACTGCATCCTGCACTATGTTCTATGAGTTCCTCTGCTTGTTTCAGCAGGAGTCTATTTGATTATTTTTTGGCCACCTCCCTTCACCTTTTCTCCGCACGTGTCTATACCAGTGCCAGCATTTCTTCATGCCTAAAACTTTGGCGCCTATGTTTAGTCGTCCTAACCTTCATTCCTTATTCAGTCCTGAATCGTGAGCTGAGGTCACAAATACCTAATTTTGGTTGATCTTAATTTACTTCCTCGTATACGTACGTATATACGGAGTAATGTACGTAACATAGAAAAAGAGTAATGCTGCGGAATATCGATTTAGAAATTTCAACGGAAATACACCCTTTGGGGTCCCCCGATAAAAGTGTTTTTTTTTTCAAAACATCCGCGGCGGACTTGATGAGAAGCGGTAGACTCAGAACAAATTAGAGTGTGACCCATTGACTCATTAATTACTCCTTCATCCTTCATTTGATTAACCAACTTGCAATCACGAAGGACCACTAACTGGATTTTACGAGAGACAGCCTCAGGTTCTGTCATCATCATTTGGAAATTAGTATACACGAGTGAGGTTAATACGTACTGTTAATTATAAAATTAATTACTGAAAAGCAATCTCGAGATAGCTGTTTAAATCAGCCAATGTAAAAACATAGAGAATCAGAGCATAAGGAGTCAATGTGATTATGTAGCGTCATTTCCCAATTGCAAGTTGGGAGAAAGAAAGAAGAAGAAGAAACAAAGAATACCTATTTGTCACGTGAATATTATGGCTGCAACACGGTGGGCATTGATGTAGGTAGCGATGACACGTGGGGGGGGGCACATCAGGGTGCATCTGGCAGGGTGTCAAAGATCTTGCATAACAACGACTGTTGTCGTGTTGCCATTTATGTAGAGCTGAATAGCAATAAACTTTATTACAGGAATAATGACAAACATAATGGCATTATATAAAAGCACAATGACAAACCCATGTTGATGGCGTGTGTTTGAGCACGTAACCACTGTTCATAGACATAAAGACAATCACTGGAGTCCATTAGTTCAGCTGCACATGAACTCACTCGCGTGGCATGATATTACAGTTGACGACTGTTGCACGTATGTGTAAATTGCATAAAATGTTCCTAGTTAATTGTTGTAACTCTTCAAGTTAGTAAAACACATTAAACAGTGATTAATAAATTGATAATAGTTTTTACACATCTGCCCTTGAGATTGTAGTGCAAAGCGAAATAGAAGATCAGCTAGGCGTCGCAGCGTGACTACTTTCTGTAATAATGTTCGACTATGTTGGTTCATACGTGATTGCTACATAAATTGCTCAATGTTAATAAATAAATCTTCATTGTGTACTAACACGTTAGACAAATTCTTACATTGACAAGAGTTTGTGTGAGTATGCACTTAAGAGTCGTGCAACACAAAAAACCGAGAAAACAGATGAGACAAACCGAGTGATGCTCGTTCGCTGTGCACACAATTAAGAACTAAACAGTTTTTGAAAAATTAATCAAACCCGAACAGTCTGTAACAAACGCTTGTGCCTACTACACCACTAGCGCCTAAACGATGCGGAGTACGTTTTGCAACACTTCGATAGTGTAACGCTTAGCGTAGCGGTACGATATATCCAGGTCCTCTGGTTCAAACCAGATCAAAGCCGTGGATTTTTAAGGGTAAAAAAATACTTTGTAAATCTTCCTTAGTATAGGGGAGTATAGACAGCTATCCCGTGAATTCCGTGAATTCCCTTTGCTAATGCAACCTAGTGTCCTAAATACTTAGTTCATCTAAAAGTTACTCGAGCTTAAGTAAAGCCTCTGAGCTTCTCATTTTTTCCTTCAAATCGCGTGTTCCATCACAGGAGTGATACCTCATTTCTCTGCCAAACTGTGAAAAAAAGCGGATTTTGTGTGGTCAAGTGGAGGAGCTGGCCTCACGGCCTGAGCCTTGCTGCGGACAATAAGACATCATTGATTGATTGATAGTATAAAGACTGGCTTGTAAAGCTGCGGCAAAAAAAACGGCAATTTTTCGATAGAAAACTCGGACTGTGAAGCCATACGATACTAAATAGTTACTAATTCTCGCATGTAAACCCCACCCTAATTTTTCCTTATGGTATCGTGAAAATGAAACATGTAACATAAGGTCCGTTTCCGTCATAGAAGCTCCCTTCAGACTTAGGTACACAGCACTTGTAGACCACGGCAAAACATCAAATCATTGGTTGCATAGATCATTGGTCACAACTATTGGACGCATAAGAAAAATATCTTCATCGGTATCTTCTATTATTAGTACGTTTATCTGTTGCTGCGAGAGTGAATCTTGAATTAATAACATAGGCCAAGAAAAAAGAGGTTTCAAAAATCTTTTTAAATATTGATAGCTAATTTTTATAGTTTTCTGTGTGCTGAATCCGCATCTAAACTCTGTTCGTTTCGATAACCCACATTTTGTTCGCAATTTGATTACCGAAAGGGCGCTTCGATCAACATTCAATTGTTTTCATATTTCCCTCGAAACCACGATTTTGGCGATGCGGGTGAGATATGACGTGAATATGGAGTTCCGCATCGAAGGCAATAACAAGCTACAGTGCATCAGTAAAAAAGAAAAGTATCAATCATTTGAATGATTTCTTGGCTCTCTCTGTATCGTAGGAATGGCAGCTCCAACGGATGCTTTCCCCTTTTTTATCATATTCTAAGCTCCTGTATACAAATATAAGATAACATTACGTGGCGCCCCAGATTTGTCCTCATCTACAAGATTAATTCCAAAATATGAAATATTTACATTTATAAGATAAGACTGAACACTAACTGCATGAATAGATACTTATCATAACAGCAAAAATACAAACTCGTGTGACTCTAATAAAACAAAGACGCTGCTGCTTGTCAAATGCAACTCTGACATTGAAACCGCTATGCATATCGATGCACGATCGTAGAAGGGATCAATCACAGTGTAGAAATTTGTTACCAAAGCGTATTCTACCATCTTTGTCGTCCTAATACTTTCTTATTCTAACTGATCTAATGTACTTAAATGGTTATAGCGCCACATAGCTGGATTTTCCTAGCTATACGAGGAACATGATAAAATGTGAACAAATTGTGGGTGATTCAGCATTTTTAATACAATTTTGCAATTACCATACTTAAAACTATCACAACTAAAACTAAAACCAATGCATCAATTCAATTCAAATGCCGTGAACTACAATATTAGTTACATCATGGTCGTGAATTCTACAATGGTTCATAATTAACCAATATTGCACTGCTTAAAATAACAAAAACTCCATTATGCTGTGTCTTATTGTTTTACACAACTTACGTAAATGAAATATTTTTGTAAGTAAGTGTGTCTCTCATGACGTAATTATGCCAATTTCTAGCAATTTGTAAACATTACTGCATTTGTGAGAGAATGTGCGTCAAATGTCTTCCGATAAAGTTTTTCGAAATCTGAGAATTTTACTGTGGAAAAGAGCTTCAAATTTCCCATTTACAGTACTGCTTAAATGCATTTTTCTTAGAAACTTCTCTACAGTTTTCAACTAAAATGTCCATATAGAACAAGTTAGTACCCTTGAATATCATACTGAAAGTCATATTCAGATCTACTATTAGGGAATGGAAAGTTTGAGAAAATGTAGTTTGTGTGGCGATGGTTGGCGATAGATGCCTAACGTAAACCTTTTTGTCACATAAACGACAAACTATTTGGCGATAACTCACTTTTAATGGAAACTACGTTGTTATTCTACGCAGAAAGAAAGAAAAGAGAAGAAACTAAATTCGACCTAAATTAGGTTTCTCAATTTCATAAAATGAAAAATCACACGAGTAATTAAATTTAGTATTAAATTAAATTGTTGCTTTTATACAGCAACATTTCTTTACTTACCTTTTAATTATTTACATATGATTATTTAAATGTTCTATTCATATTTAACAAGCAATTATTGTTTGTCAATAGACTTAATTTGATGAGTATTTCACTAGCGA